GGCGTGCATTAAATTGCGTTTTTTGTCGCGTGCCATAAATTGCGTTGTAGAGTCCGCAGTCACACCAGAGATAACCAGTTGAAACGTTCGTTGTGAAATTCACGTGCATTAAGGTCATGATTTTTGACAAAATTGGTCATAAATCGCATGACATTGTTCATTAGTTTATTATGTACAATCACGAAGCTAATGTCCCGTGGTACAGTGAAATAGCATTATTTTGCGTGTTAAGGTTAAGCTTTTTGAGAAATGTATCCTGATATTACTTGAAAATGGCGGCTTTCCACTAAAATACAAGCATCAATTCCTTGAAAAAAAGGATGGTGACCCCCAACTTTTTTTAGGTCAATAACCTTATATTGCCTTGGAGTACAGTTTATTGCAAAATGAATAAATTCTGGGTATACCTTAAATTGATTAAAAACATTTTTGGAGTCCCTCTAATTTGTTTTTGACCGTTGTCACCTGTCCCCCACCAGGGTGAATGACAGCACTAATATTTGTTTCTCAGGAATCTATAATCAAATAATACAAACGGTGACACTATGCAATTTTCGAAATGCATTTATTTCTGGTGTAACTTTACATTTATGTATGTACCGTAATAGAGTATCCAATTTTTTTCTTCCTAAACATGTTTTCAACAAAAGAATTACATAGATAGGTAAAACATACAACAATTTTCATAAGCATAAATTTATAATACCCCATGGGCCCAAAAACTAGCAGCGACGGGAAATAAAATTCCACTTGTGGGACGAATCGTCTTGGGACGAAAGTGATTTGAGACGTGTGAAAGTGATTTATAATACCTCAAGAGGCCCGAAAACTAGCAAAGACGGGAAATAAAATGTCGACTTGTGGGACGAATCGACTTGGGATGAATGTGATTTGGTACGAATCGACCGTCCCCGTTTATTTATCCTTGACTATTCCCTCGCCACAGTGAATTACATCACGAATGTTTGTTCTCCGGGAGTCTGTAATAAAACTGAATTCGCGTCCTAAATGCATAAAGGTGTGTGTCATTTATGGCCTCACTGGTCACTGCGTTGATTTAAGAATGGTTCACACTTGATACCATGGTGATATGCAAGAACTAATGTGGTGCATAGAATTGAAATGGAAATAGATTGGTATCAGGGAGATAAGTGTACTAGTGTTTAACACCATGTCAGGATATGAGATCGAACCATTACATGTTAATTTATCTCAGGACACAGTTAATCAACAAGGAATCGCAAAAATAATCAGGATGGTACACAACATAAACATAACATGGAGTTAAACAGACGAAGACTAACAATATCATATCGGTGATGGAACACAAATTCACAGTAATCAACTGAAATGAGCATGATTTATTATGGCAGCGATATATAAGATAGTGACATATCAATGGCATATGACCGATGTAATTTCTAGACATTTATCAGGGGGAAATCTTCTTTTCCACGGGGTCTCCACACTGGCCAGGGGGAAACTCGTCTCGTCTCTCTATCTCGTCCCCTTGAGGTACGGGATCGGGAAAGTCACTTATACTTTACAGTCAAATAAGGCACACACAACGAAATACGTTTCAGCTCTCGTCTTAGTCGGTCAATCGAGCACTCTATAAGACACAGCGCCCTGGGGAAAAGTCCCCAAGACTCTCACAAGGCTGAACCAAGACTCGCCCAAGACTGGACTGCCTCAAGGCTCGCCCCTGGACTGGACTCTCGACTGCACTCTCTCTACTGCGTCTGTCGTGCTGTGCTCCCCAAGACCAATTCAAACTCTCTTTATTCATTTTCAAAACTCTAACCAATTACAAAACAGTAAAAAGACTCTAGGGCGTAACCTTCAATCATAAAGCCAATCACACTAAGTACTGAATACGTCATATCTTTTGGTCCGTTTCCACATTCTTAAATATAGAAGCATAATAATTAATAAGGCTTGACAATGAAATAGCCAAAAAATATAAATATGTATATACATTTTTATGTACAAGAAAACACTGAGTTAAATATGTATGCAAAAGATATTTTTTGTATTCTTTTTTTAAATATGTTTCTCGACTGTATAGATCTAATATGAGTCGGAATTTCATTCCATATTTTCGGACAATATATTTTATAAAAAATTGACTACATCTTTTCTTAACTTTGGGAAGGGAAAAATTACATATGTAGTTTTGTCTTGTGTTATACTTACGTTCAATCTGCGGGAAGTAGTAGTGGAAAAATGGTGGTAATCTATCATAAATTGCACCATGCACTAAGGTTCCAATTTGTAGAGAATGTTGTTTATACATATCTAAAATGCCTAATTGTTTAAACAAAGGTGCTGAGGGTGTATTGTAATTTTTAAAGGCGATAATGCGAACAATGCGTTTTTGTATAGTAC